TCGCCCACACAGTGGGCTTTATCACGTCGCAAACGTATTTGTTCGTCATTTGATAAAATCCACCGTATGGACGAAACGTAGTCAATAAAGAATCGCATTATACTGCATTTGTACCTATTTTTACATGGTGTCGGTATTTTATACCATTTATCTCCATCTTGTGAGTTTCCTGAAGAATTATTATTATTATAATCAAAAAGAAGCGCTAAGCCACAAGGACTATACAGCGCTGCAGGGCAGGAAGGAAGCGAGGGCATCAGGTGGCAAAAGGGAGATGGATGAGCAACAGGTTACGGATAACAGCGGGGCAGTGGATGGTGAAAGGGTAAAGGGCAGCAAGAGACTGAACCAGAAAGGGCTGAGGGGAGTGTGAAAAGTATCATCAGAGTTTGTGGAGTAAATCAGTCGTTGTCAAGAAGTCAATGAGAGAGTCAGGATTAAAGGAGGGTCCATCAGCAAGAAGGGAAGGTAAAGAGAGAGTAGGAGAACGAAGACGACGTTGGAGGTAAATTCTGCGTGCTCGTTGATAGAGAGGGCAGTCTAACAGAATGTGGCTAATCGATACTGGAACGTTTCCTGAAGAATAAGTCATAAGTCTATGACTTGAAAAATTCACAACCTACAAATCGGGGAGACAGAATCATCAGACAACGTTTCGATCTATCCAGGACCATTATCAAATGACTAATCAAACACAAAATGAGGGCGGCGTAAAATATCGTCTATAGACATTTGACTTATGTACACAGTTCTTTGTTCTTAAGCAAGTGGTCCTGCAGGACCGTATGTTTACGTGGGCAGGGACGCTTAACATTTACACAGCAGTGGGACCGAAAGGTCATTTAGTCCGCGTGAAGTCCAGTCCATACTTGACTTTCAGCGGACCGCCAACAGCAACAATCTGGTTGACCAGTCAACCGCCAGAGAAGTCTTTCCCCAGGTTGCGGAGATCTGGTTGACCAGTCAACCGCCAGAGAAGTCTTTCCCCAGGTTGCGGAGATCTCTTAAAACAGGTTACAGGTGTACCTGTATCCCCCCCCCCCACACACACATGGCAGAAAAACAGCTTTTGTTCCCACTTTATTTATCATATAGAATAGTGTAGCAGCACAGTGCTGTTGTATCCAATATTAGAGGATTAAGAACTATTAAGAACATAGGAAATACATAAAGAACCTGCGCATGGGAGAGAGAAACTTCGTGACGACGTCTCGATCCGACTTAGACCATTAGTCACACTAACACACGAAGGTAAGGGAGCCAGTACATATACCTTCTTGTTAGTGTGACTAGTTAATGGTTAGATAAAAGGACACAAGTGCAACTAATATAACATTTTATTGTGGCAACGTTTCGCTCTCCAGGAGCTTTGTCAAGCCGTTATAAACAATACATGGCTTTGGTTAGAGGTCCGAGTCGGAGCAAAATGTCATCGGTTTCTATGTACAGGTTATTTGTGCATCGTTCCAGTCACGGTATTGTGCGTTTTCGTTCTCTAGAGGAAAGTAAAGATATACATATGCCGAACGTGCGTAGAAATTTGTAAAATTAACCTGTAAACGTACGTGTTCGTGAGAGTGAAAGAGAAGATCACTAATCCTGCCAGAGTGTAAATATTTTAACAGGTTTCAATTTCACTCCCAGGATAGGACAGTCGTGCCTCCCTGGATGGTTCTTGTCTACCCACCTACTTACCTAATCTAGCCTAACCGAATCTAACCTAAATAGAAGATATCGAGAAACAGCCTTAGAGAGTAAGATAGGCACAATAATGCGTAGATGACGTATGTTGTACCAGGATATTTATCGAGGCTTGATAAAGCTATATTCTCAACATGTGGGCGATTTTGAGGGGGGCGATGACCCCCCTCTAAATCGCCCATATGTTGAGGATAGGAACACACCCGCTGCTGACCCATGTAAGACAATACTCACACCCACCTATTCCCACGTCTGTCTAACATATTCGTAAAGAGGGTGCCTTCACAGTGAAGCGTTCTTGATCCAACAAATTGGATCTACACTCCCTTCCTTTGGATGAAACCCGATTACCACTCATTCTCCAGGCATATGTGGCCCTCTACGAGTTTAAGAGCTAAACCAGGATGGGTCATTCAAGGATCCTAGTTCGATTTCCAGGCGGGTTGAGACATGGAGTCTTTCTTTAACATACCGCCCTTGTTCGTTGAGCCGTATATATGTGCCTGGGTATTACTCAACTGTTGTAGGTGGCATCCTGTTGAGTTGTAGTATACTTAAGATAGGACTGAGCTTCGAAATTAGGTTAGGTGCGATAACAGTATCCTGGGGGTGGTAATATACAGCCCAATCGGGGTGGCCTGGTGGCTAAAGCTCTCGCTTCACACACGGAGGGTCCGGGTTCGATTCCCGGTGGGTGGAAACATTTCGACGCATTTCCTTATACCTGTTGTCCTGTTCACCTAGCAGCAAATAGGTACCTGGGAGTTAGTCGACTTGTGTGGGTGGCATCCTGGGGGGACAAGATTGAGGACCACAATGGAAATAAGACAGACAGTCCTCGATGACGCACTGACTTTCTTGGGTTATCCTGGGTGACTAACCCTCCGGGGTTAAAAATCCCAAGAAAATCCTATCTTAATCTCGCACCAAATGGGATAAACGTCCAGAATTTAATGTTTCTTGTTTTACCAGAGTCACCTCGTTGACAGATGTATTGTTACTATGTGGGAAATTTTCGTATATATTCTCAAATCTCTTACCGAGACCCTTATGTCGAGTATTTCGTAAATACCTTTGCCTTTGATATACCTTTGATGAATTCCGGAGTTTTTATACTCCCGGAGCCGGGCCATGGGCTAGGCTCGTCTGGTCAACCAGACTGTTGCTGCTGATGGCTTACTGCCCACATATCCATCGCAGCCTGGTTGATCTGGCATCTGGTGAAGATACTTGTACAATTAATAATTCAAGTGTTGTTTATATAACCACCGCACTTAGTTAAGACGCAGAATTTTAACTTAAAATGTTAACACTAACATCTCATCAAGGGATTTAAAATTGTTCACTAATTCGGGAACCCTAAAGCCAAAATTATTGGCTAATACAACAGCAGATTGTTGCCTCTGAGGACGATTTTAATTGAACAGTGATTATGTATTGTGGTGGGTCGTGTGGCTAGGGTACAGCGGATGATAGTTGCTGTTATGAACTAGGGGGACTAGTGACTAGCTCTCAGGATTTATCAAGTGTGTTAATGCTTGGAGATCTCCTCTCCAGCCCACTGAAGTATTTCAACGCCTGAACTACCAGAAGTGTAGATGCAGCCAGTGAAAGTCCTTCAACTAACATACCAGAGGGATTCCTGCCGGTAAGCCGGCGAAAGGCTTCAGTCAGATGACCAAAAGCTGTAGCTGCGGGTCATCATATGACCCACATCAGGAAAAACTTGTCCTGCTTCCTGACAAACCTTACCTATGTTAAAATATAGTGTGCCGCTCTGTGAAAGGGTTAGTCACTGGGTATACTAGGTATGATACCCATTCTTGAATCAGTTTAGTCATTCACCAGGATCGTGATCAGTTTTTCTTAAGTGGAGTGAAAATCCCAAATATGTAGGCTATTAATACCACATTATTCATATTGTTGTTTGTAACCTTGGGTAAATTAGAAATTTTTAGCCTCGTCTTTGAGTTACAGATTCTTCAGTTTATCAGCATTTACATGTAACCATTCATCACTAGCACAAGGGTCATATTCCACGATGGCTAACTCTAGGGTCAAATTTGCTTGGGTTAAGTCATCTGGGAAGACCATTAACAGTCTCCACATCTCGAGGAAGTCTATGCGAGGCTGGTCCTATTAGTCCCGCCTCCATGTTATGTCCAATAAAATAAATGTGCAAGAAATTTGTGAGCCTCACCTAAATTAACCCACGAAAATAGTAACCACCCCATATTGAAGCCCTTATGTCTTAAATACGTATTTTATAGGTTTATGTAAAGTAACGCACATTAACCAAGCCTATCTTAATTTAATTTAAACCAGCATATCTTAGATATAAGAAAATAGATAGAAATACGCATGAGAACATCATTGGGAGGCAGCAGTATCTTAAATATGGCTGGGCAGATCTTAGGTGGTAGTACAATTATGATAGGATCTCCATCGGTAGCGCACTCAGCTCATAATATGGCCCGGGGGTCGATCTCCGGTACGGCTGGAAAACATTAAGAAGTTGACCCATCAGTAAGATGGGTGTTATTCGACTGGTGTAGGTCGAATCCTGGGACAAAACTGACCTAATTTGTCTGAAATGCTCTGCATAACAAGGGCCTTTCTATATACTAGTATGTCACTGATGTCAGCTAGGCCTGTATACCTTGTACATGTATTTGTAGAAATAAAGATTATTATTATTAACTCAGGTAGGATAAAACCATCCTGGGGAGTGGTAGTATACCGTTGATGACGCTGAGCTAAAATGGGGTAGGATAATAATATCCTGAGGGAGGGGGGAAAATAGTATAGCTTCGATGGGGCTTAGCTGAACCTAGGTAGGATCACAGCATCCTTGGTGGTTCGGGTAGAACTTTGATAAAGCTAACCTGAACTGAGGTAGGATACCAACATCCAGAGGAGTGGTACTTTGAACAGGACTAGGTTGAACAGAGGTTGGATAACAGCATCATCTGGGGTGGCAAGATACCTTGAATCTGGCCGACTTGAGGAAGGATAACAGTATCCTGAGAGTAGTACCTTCAATAGAGCTGGTTTAAGCTGAGGAAGGATGGCAGGATTCTGAAGGTTGTTAATATATCTTGAACAGGGCTGAGTTGAATTAAGGTAGGACATCATCATCATCCTGCGGGTTGGTATGATACCATGAATAGAGCTGGGCTGTGCGATGAGGGTTGGTACGATACCATAAATAGGGTTGAGCTGAGGTGAGAGAAGAGCTCTTAGCCTGTAAATTGAACTGCGTAAAAGCAACAGAACTTAGCTTATTGGTGCTTTCTTACCTGCAGTTGCATATCCGGTGTGGTTGGGTTACCGTTGATATCTTGAGGATTGTGGAGGGGGGAGCCAGGAGCTGCACTCTCCCCGCCTCCAGCGGTCACCTCTCCCTCCATCTCCTCCAACACCTTCATACCCTGGAGGCTTGCCGCATCCTCCCACACGGGTACACCCCAGACATTCAATCTCCAAGCCACACAAAACCGCTTTTCCACTGCAGGAGACTCATCATACCTCCCTCTGTCACTCGCACTTAATACCACAAAGTCTCAACGCTGACTTGTACAGCAGCTCGGCAAGTTACCACAAGATGTATCAAGTCACCAGTGCTGCTCGCAACCTCACCACAAAGCACAACTTGCTGCTGCTCTCTCCTCACCTATGAAAGTCACCATTGTTATGGGAATTCATGTGTTTGAATTTCACACACACACAAGCATTTGAGAGCAACTTGATAAACAGGAGTGGAGCCAGCAAGGTGTCTAGCCTCCAAGTGACGCCACCTTAAAGTGTTAAGTGTTTTCATCTATGTTAAGGTCATCATACGGTTTTGTTACTGATAAATTTGATGAAAATCACTGGCTTTGTTTTTTCGTAGCACAAAATACCAGTGTCGCTGTCCTCTCTAGTGCTGACTTTGTTTTCCTCATTTACACTTTCCCCATCCCGTAATATCAAATACAAGTACAAATAAGCCCCACACACATCCTTTAAACACACAGTAATATCATTACTGGTGATAAGGCCACAATACAAGGGCAAAATAGGCATAAACACGTGCAGAGAGGCTCAGCAGACCACAATACATCCTACCTCCAACACTGACAAGTGACAACTAATCAAGCCATCCAGCCGGCCCTTCCTTCCCTCACCTCTCCTGGTCACACCTCCACACCAACTATCTTATATATACCACATTTGTTCCTTGACTTCACTACCTCCACTTTGTGGAAAATAACCCAGCTCTTATCTCAAAGCCACTACTTTGGGAAGGAATAGGATGTGGACCCAGAAAGTCACCGTAGGAAGAGTTAAATATATATTGTGAAAACAGCATCAGTATGGTTGAGTTGCCCGGTAGTGTTCCAGCATCCTTCTCAGGTTTGCTCTAGATTGTGTTGTGTACACAAAGGAATATATGAACCAGAACTAAAATTAACATTTGATATACTTGCAGGTTTATAGAAGAAAAATAGTGTGAAGTCTGAACCGACACAATGTTATAATCTTCAAGGGTAAACACAATTGCTGAATTCGCTGGCATGTAGAACGATTTTTAATATAAATGTTACAGTAATTGTCATATTAGAAGCAATACTAATAATATAACTGATAAAATGGTAATAATAAAGTTGTGTGAACAATAGAGAGGAATAAGTCCTTGTATCATGTGGTAGATTATTAAATATGCCCGTACTATAAATGCCAGCAGTGATGCCATCCTTGGGTCATACTATTTGTTGTTGAATTGCTAATAAGTACCAGAAACGTTTGTAGAGTAACACACACACACACACACACACACACACACACACACACACACACACACACACACACACACACACACACACACAACATGCACACACACACACACACACACACACACACACACACACACACACACACACACACACACACACACACATTTTTTTGGACTGCAAAAAGGCCTTCGACACAGTTCCTCACAAGAGGTTACTGAAAAAGCTAGAAGATCAGGCACACATAACAGGAAAGGCACTGCAATGGATCAGAGAATACCTGACAGGGAGGCAACAACGAGTCATGGTACGTGACGAGGTGTCAGAGTGGGCGCTTGTGACAAGCGGGGTTCCACAGGGGTCAGTCCTAGGACCTGTGCTGTTCTTGGTATATGTGAACGACATAACGGAAGGGATAGACTCAGAAGTGTCCTTGTTTGCAGATGATGTGAAGTTAATGAGAAGAATCAAATCGGATGAGGATCAGGCAGGACTACAAAGAGACCTGGACAGGCTACAAGCCTGGTCCAGAAACTGGCTCCTTGAGTTTAAACCCTGCCAAATGCAAAGTCATGAAGATTGGGGAAGGGCAAAGAAGACCGCAGACACAATATAATTTAGATGGCCAAAGACTGCAAACCTCACTCAAGGAAAAAGATCTGGGGGTGAGTATAACACCGAGCATATCTCCTGAGGCGCACATAAATCAGATAACTGCTGCAGCATACGGGCGCCTGGCAAACCTACGGATAGCGTTCCGATACCTCAATAAGGAGTCGTTCAAGACACTGTATACCATTTACGTCAGGCCCATACTGGAGTATGCAGCACCAGTTTGGAATCCACACCTAGTCAAGCACGTCAGGAAATTAGAGAAAGTGCAAAGGTTTGCAACAAGACTAGTCCCAGAGCTACGGGGATTGTCGTACGAAGAAAGGTTGAGGGAAATCGGCCTGACGACACTGGAGGCCAGGAGGGTCAGGGGAGACATGATAACGACATATAAAATACTGCGCAGAATAGACACGGTGGACAAAGACAGGATGTTCCAGAGATGGGACACATACACAAGAGGTCACAATTGGAAGTTGAAGACTCAGATGAATCAAAGGGATGTTAGGAAGTATTTCTTCAGTCATAGAGTAGTCAAGTCGTGGAATAGTCTAGAAAGTGAAGTAGTGGAGGCGGGAACCATACATAGTTTTAAGGCGAGGTATGATAAAGCTCATGGAGCAGGGAGAGAGAGGACCTAGTAGCAATCAGTGAAGAGGCGGGGCCAGGAGATATGACTCGACCCCTGCAACCACAAATAGGTGAGTACAAATATGTGAGTACACACACACACACACGCACACACACACACAACATGCACACACACACACACACACACACACACACACACACAACATGCACACACACACACACACACACACACACACACAACGCACACACACACACAACATGCACACAACACACACACACACACACACACACACACACACACACACACACACACACACACACACACACACACACACACACACACACACACACACACGAGCTGTGGTCGATCCCTGCAACCACAAATAGGTGAGTACACGAACAGGGGCCAGGAGCTAAGATTCGACCCTTGCAGTCACATATGAGTAGGTTAATATACACAAAAACCACACATAGGTGAGTGCACACACACATCCCTGACATCTGAAACTCAACCCCGGCAACAACATACAGGTGAGTACATCAACCAAATAACCTCTGTAGCCAATGCAAGTCTAAGCGTGACCTTAGAACTCTCAACAAAGTGTCTTTCCGGGTTCTTTATACAACATGTCAGGTCCATTTTGGAGTACGCAGCACCGGTGTTGAACCTACACCTCAGAAAACATTGTAAGAAACTGGAGAAAGTGCAGAGGTGCGCAACAAAACTAGTTCCTGACTTAAGAGGTATGAACTATGATGAGAAGTTAGTGGAATTGAATCTAACGACATTAGATAAAAGAAGAACCAGAGGAGATATGATAACAACATACCAAATACCCAGGGAATTGATATGGTAGACAGGGACAGGTTGTTTAAGAGTCAAGATACAGCAACTGGGGGACACAGCTGGAAGTTACAGACACAGATGAGCTAGGATGTCAGGAAGTATTTCTTCAGTCTCAGGGTCGTTGGAAAGTGGAATGATCTCTGTGAGGAAGTGGGGGAGGCAGGCTCCATACACAGTTTTAAGAGCAAGTGCGATAGGGCCTATTAGGCTAGGAGGGAGTGACTTTGGCAAGCGGTAAGAGGCGCGGCCGGGGACTAAGACCCGACCCCTGCAGCCATATATAGGTGAGTACACGCATACATAAGACTAATATATAAAATAGAAGAGTAGGCACGTGGCGGGGGCGTTGACCCCCGAAACCCCCTCCAGGTATACCTCCAGGTATAGTGGATAAGGTGATACGTGAAAGGCAAACACCTGACTAATAGCAAGAGAAGAGATATCAGAATGGGAGATAATAATTAGTTGGATGTTACGGGTATCAACACGAGGCTACTACATTCCTATATAATTATATAAATGACCTACCAGGAACAATTGACTCTTATATCTCTGCTGATGATGTAAAAACAAAATACTGTGACTACGTTGGACTACGAGCGGCCAGCAGTAACAGCCTCGTTGATCAGGCCCTGATCCACCAGGAGGCCTGGTCATGGACCGGGCCGCGGGGGCGTTGATCCCCAAAATACCCTCCAGGTAGACTCCAGGTAGATCCTCCAGGTAGACTCCAGGTAGACTCCAGGTAGATCCTCCAGGTAGACTCCAGGTAGATCCTCCAGGTAGACTCCAGGTAGATCCTCCAGGTAGACTCCAGGTAGATCCTCCAGGTAGACTCCAGGTAGACGAGCGTATAACATGCCTTAGGAAGACCTTCACATACCGCAGATACGATCCAACAAGTAGCTGTTAAAGTTCAAGCCAAGTATATGCTAGGTCATGCAGGCTAAAGGTGAGAGAAAACCAGACATGGAGTACAGCTACAAATATTAATGAAGAAAAAGGACCTGGGGATAAATATTAGACCAAGTATATCACTGGAGGCACACATACATGAAATACAACGTCGTATGTAAAAACCACATAACAAGAATCTGTATAAGTTATCTTTCCAAACATTACATATACTACATGTTAGGCCAATTAACTAGTACACTGCCCCAGTATGGAGCCCCACCTGGACCACGCACGAAAAACTCGAAATAATTTATAGGTTTGCAACCAGGCTATTTCCAGAACTGAGAGGAATGAGCCATTAAGAGAGGATGTAAGAACCGGACCAAATGACTCCTGGCTGTTGCTGCTGGAGGTCAGGACACCTACACAGCTATCATAACCTGGCTGATCCGGCACTTTCTATGGTTAGTTATCAAGTTTTCCTTTGAAATCTTGAATATTTGCTCCGTCACTCACAAAATTTTAGACTACGTGCAAGACTTTAGCTGTATCTCAGATCTCTGAGCCAAGGAAAACAAGCAATGCTCCTGCCACTTTAATGTCACATCAGAAAAAAGTTAAGACTTAAATGTACTTCAATTCCTTGACATTTATATACCTTGAGTTTACACATCTTGTAGACTAACATCGTTACAAAGAAAGTGTAAGTTCAGTACATCTTGTAGACTAACATCGTTACAAAGAAAGTGTACCTTCAGTACATCGTGTAGACTAACATCGTAAGTTATCGTCAAAACAAACCATACCCCCGGCCGGGATTGAACCCGCGGTCATAGAGTCTCAAAACTCCAGCCCGTCGCGTTAGCCACTAGACCAGCTAGCCACAATAAGATTCATCCAACTAGGTATATTTCTACACCATAGGAAAGTTAGCACAGGCACCTCTGTGACCACAAATGCAAGTTTTTACAGACGAATCTCCAGCTAGCGTGGCCGTGACGAACTCTAGCTCAAGTCCCTTCACTGCAATCGTGTCATTACGATTTCTTGAGTCAAGTTATCGTCAAAACCTTTCTTTCTACCATATCCAGGGTATATGCGTATTGATTTGACCCAACTTTATGTTAAATATTGTTAGTAAAATTAGGGCAGGAATCCTTTAGGTGATCCTTAAGGTGATCCTAGTACTCTTGTTGATGATCCTAGTACTCTTGTTGATGATCTTGGTACTCTTGTTGGTGATCCTAGTACTGTTGTTGACAACCTAGTCCTATCTCACCTCCCATCATTCTTGAACGTAGCATAGAAAGCATTACCAAAGCAGCCTATCTCTCTCACTTCCACCACTACTAGATTAAGTTAGGTAGAGTTTGTCAGGAAACAGGACAAGTGTTTCCTGACGCGAGTCTTAGTCATATGA